ACAGTATGTTTGACCGTTAAATATTTCTTCTCTTGTCCTTCGACGTATTTTTGTCTACAATGAAAACAATGTATGAAATAAGCTGGAATTAGTAATAAAATATACTGTGATATCAAAAAGACAACAGATAAGAACCAAGAGTAAATGACTAATAATACAGAAAGTTTTACAGCAAACTGTAAGAAATTACATGAATAACAGAAACAGCATGAAAAATAGGAAGACACACAAAACGTTTTCTTGGAAATTCGCCTCCGAAAGCCGATCTTGCTAAACGTTTTAGTTAATATAAGATGTAACGAACTTGCTGAGCTTTACTTTATGACCACCTTGAGAATTTTAGTTTCTAAAACAGTGGAGAAATCCTTAAATTACAATTGGCTATCGATGGCTCTCGTGGGGACGGTCTTGAGGCTTTTGATTTCCATTGCCACTAAAACTATCATTATAAATGAGTAAGTTTCTGCTTCTCGGCCGTTGACTTTGCAGATGAAAGAGTGCACTACTTTGCTAGGAAAAAGCTTTTAGACTCGGGTGGGATTCGGAGGGACGTAAGCCTCATGTGTCAGCATCAAGTTCGGTTTCGAAAAAGCTAAACGTACAGGACTCGAACTGTGTTTAATCCTGTAAGTCTACAACTTTTTTGTTACAAGCTTAAAACTGCACAAGGATGAAAAAAAATGCATATATATTAATGTCTATTAATGTACACATGATTGTGGAGAAAGAGTTAATAAATCATGTTAGAAACTGACCTATGACAAGAAATTGAAGTCCTACACTTATAATAATACATTAAATAATATTAAAGCTAATAACAACATAGATATTGTTAAAAATCTTTCATCAAGAAAAGTAAGTAGCTTTTACAGCAAAAGAGTAGCAGTTACAGGTGAGTAGCAATGTGTGCAGCGATGTTTACATTTTGTATTACCAAAGTCGCATGATCAAATAGATATTGTTATGCTGAAAATAGACACATGATGTAGATTTTACCCCAATATCGACCATCGATAAATATATTAAAATACAGGACATTATTGGATTGTGAGGATTTTACTAAAATAAAAGCATAAGTATAAACTGTTGATACAGCAATCAATAGTAATTACTGTTACAAAAGCTGTACGTAATCGCACTAATGGTTCCCATCCTTTATAAATCCGTCATTGTTCCCCAAATATATTCAGATAAGAGTCGGGTAGTCTGTTGGACATATGTTACTGGCTTTGGGTAGTGAGAATTTTTGTTGTGTTTTAAATGAGAATCTTGCATAACTCACGCAAACCTAGTTTTCGTAAATTTCCGTCGAATCACCTCACTCATCCATAAAACTTTGTGTACGTAAGCTGAAACGTTTTCTAATTAAAAGATCGAGGAGCAAAATCAAAAGATATAACGTCAAAAACATTTCAGGATATCAGTATCATCAAATAGTTTGGACCATAACTTACAGCAAGAAAAAGTGACAGTTAAGGGTGATATTTTAGAGTGATGCATGCCTACTATAGATGAAAATATAGACAGAACTTTCGTTGCAAAGAGAATTTGAAACTACAAAAATATCTTTTTTCGATTCCGTGGAAACTGAAATGTATTTGAACGGAATTGAGTTATTCATCTTACGTCTCCTCTAAGCGACCTTTGCTGAAAAAAGCATGATTTACTAGAACTTGTATATGATGAAGTTTTAAACTCTTTTCGAATTGATGTTTTGAAAGAGCTCCGTGTGACACTCTTATACACCAGGATTTTTACAAATCGAGTCGGGGCTTCTGAGACAATGAATGTTTCCGTGTAAAATGACTAATAGTACAGGATTTGTTCACGACCTCTAGTTCAATAGATCGATGAAATTCTTTTGTGTTGCATAAACGTATCCATGATCACTGTTGTAATATTTCTATTCGCTTCGGTGTATATAGCCAGGAGCGGCGAAGCGTTTTGAAATTTGGTAAGGCTCAGGCATCGAGTCGAATGATGTACTTTTTTATCTTATTCGATCACTTCAGTTCTTTTTGAATTTTAGCGTCGAAGAATTACTGAGATTTTCATTAAAAACTGAAAATAAGGGAAAAACTTTGAAATATATATTATTCGACTCGATTTTTGATTCTGATTCCGAATATGGTATTTTCACTGTGTGAAAGTTGAGTTCTGATGGAGAAAATTGCGAATTAGGATCAAAATTTTGATTTCTCCCAGTAAATTCGACTTTTCTTGGCGAGAAAAAGGAATTTTAAAAAGCTCTCCGTTAATTTGTTGCCCTTTTCAAGATGGTTCTAATGGTGTACGAATCAAGGATATAGGTCTTGACCCAAACAACTTGATGTGTGCTCAAAATGAGTGACTGGTTCTCGGACGTCGCTGTTGGACAAACGTATACTTTTGAGAAGTTAATGTTTGTACCATTGCCACTGCCACCTATGATGTATCATTAATCTCAATTGTTATTTCATTATTCACTTGTCTTTTATAGACAAGAATAAAAATAAGGATAAAACCTACATGAGATAGTTCGTTTTGTTTGTTTTCTTGAATGAAGTTCTGAAAAAAATTGTTAGTTGATGACGCCTTTTTCTTTAAAAGACAAGTGATCCCATTATGATATCTTACGATCGTTTTAGGATACCTTTATACCTTCATATGAATTCATATGTGTCTCGTTTTGTATAGACAACCGTTATTGATAACGAGAAGGAGGTTCCTTCTTGTTATCTCAATACAGCCCTGAAAAATATCAACGTGGCATAGTCCGTCCTCAGCGTTTTTCTTGATGAATCGACTCTTCTGCGATCTAACTCTGAGGGTCTGAGGGGTAGTAGAGAGAGACAAACTGCGTCGCTGTGCCTAAAATTCTTATTTCTCAAGGTTGCGAAGTATCGGGCTCCAGAAACGGCGTTTGCGAATTTTGGAAAGTCTGATCGCAGAAAGTTGGTCAGTCGGTTTTGTTAAAATTTTTCATTCGTTTTTTAAGGAAAAAGAACAAGAAACGAAGGTTATCTTTTTTAGTTTTCAAATGTTAGTATCCAATAGAGAAAAAGATACAACTTGTAAATATTTTTCTGGCTGAAAACTAATACAAACTAGACTGCAGAATTATCTAAATGAGGATAATATCGAATAAAGTTTGTTTTTTGGTGATTTGAGACGGGAGAGAACTTAAGGGCGAAACTGAATGCCGAAAACTTTTTCTTTGGTTTTCGAAAACCTAAATAGACTGCTTCGTTCAGGATTTAACGCTGATCACGTTCATACAGACTTTTCTGAAAAATAATGGGTTATGAAAAACACGCTTACCGCTCTCACTGCTTTTCGTCTCATACAGAGGATTCAAAATCTTTTTTTCTGTGACAGTTAGGGAGCGTTTTAAAATTCTTTACTCTCTTACTTCCTGTTATACTCCTTTTCTCCTTTCCTTTTTTCCTTCTTTACTGTTTTGCTTTTGAGCAAAAGACTGCTTAAAAGATAGTAAAGCAGGAAAGGAGTCTTTTTAATAATAATAAAAAATAGAATCATGAATATACTAAGTTTAATAATGCATTATCGAAGGTTAATGCAGAATAAACAATATTTGTTGGCAAACAAATTGGTGCCCATTGATCGCCATTCGTTTGCCAGTATATTACTTTATTTTCTGTATCAACACACTTCAATAACATCATGTTCTTTGACAGTACGTATCTTTTCCGAATAAGTATCTGTATGACCGGATTCCCAATTATGAGTTAAAGCCCAACCTTGTTCTTTATCACTCTTTATTTTGTTTGATAACGTTTGAGATAAAGCAATAGCAATAGAAAACGAAGATTCCTGATTACGACTTACAACTTTGATGCTCCATGGGTATTTACCCTTTGGAACTTGTTTATTGCCTACAATCCATATGATATTTGAAAATAAAAGACCGTGACTATTCGCGGTATTTCCAGCTACGTTCGATCTCTTTGATTCAGGTACAGACCAAACAAAGTGGAACGACATTGCAACTGTATTCCGCTGATTTGTATCAAACAATTGATGCAGGTTTGAAACCGAGCCACTTCGATATGAGTATCTTATCTGGCGATTAGCTGTTGTCTTTTTGATATCACAGTATATTTTATTACTAATTCCAGCTTATTTCATACATTGTTTTCATTGTAGACAAAAATACGTCGAAGGACAAGAGAAGAAATATTTAACGGTCAAACATACTGT